CCCCAAAACCCCAAAACCCCAAAACCCCTTATAATAATTTAACTATTGAATAATGTCTCGAAGCAACAAGCTTCCTCATATGCTTTTAGGAGTAGAGAATCACTGAGAGGGCTAAAATTATATATTTTAAGTAACAGAATTAAATTTTTCAAACATCCACACATCTTTGATGCCTATTATACTCATTTTGGGTAGACTTTTGATCAATAAGGATTCTTGGCTCTAATATTTTGAAATAATGTACACATCTTTTCAGGTTCCTTTCTAGTTAAATTTTTGTGATCTGCCAAGATGGTTTCTAAGCTGAAAAATTGACAGCTTTCGAAAAAGATATCTAAAATCTCTAGCATAGATGGCTTATTCAAAAATTCATCTGTTGAAAAAGAAGTTTATGCTGAGCCGATTAGATCTATCAAAAATGAGCATTGTGCTGATTTTTGTGAAGAACCCACTTTGTTTAAGAGTTTCCACTACCAAGATTTTGGAACATGCTCAAATAATTCTGGGAAATTAATGAGTAAGAAAACGAGAAATTTTCAAAATTTCTTGTATATGTGAGAAAGATATATGGAGTCTTTCCAGATCTTGACTAAACTAAAGAGAGCTAAATACTTCATGCTGACTTTAGGTGCCTCATTTGTTATAATCTGGAACAAAAAACAGGAAAATATTTGAAGAAATATTTCCAAAGAATCAAGTCCTAAAATTATTTCGCTATAATGTGAGTTCACTGGATTTAGCTATATGAAAACTTTCTCTCTGAATGCTACCACTCCGACTCTCAATACAAAGAAATAAAATCAATCTTCTCAGAACCAGAGAGCCTTCATCAGAAATTTCAGTAATACTAGCAAGAACCCATAAAAACATGACTGTTTGAATGTGATAAATTTCAAGAATCCTTTAACAACAGACTCTAAAAAGAAGTTACTGGATTTTGAAATAAAAGTCTCACTAATGTCACTTGGAAGTATTGGTTCTCACCATATTAACAAATTAGTTCTTGGAAGTGAAACTCTTCTGCTTGAATACTTTCCCATGATTCTACACAAAGTTATATATTAACTCAGAGGAAAATATGCTAGTATAAATTTTGGATAATTTCATGCATCCTAAAAACGTACAGAGAGTAAAACGGAAGAAGAAATTATAGAATCTCTGTTAGTATGTAGTAATGGGTGATAGAAGCTTCAGTTGTTAATATTTAAACTATTTTCCATCATTTTGAGTTCTATCTAAGCTCCATAAGCTCATAATGCGCAAGATCTCTACCTTTGTTATAAAATTGTGTAAAATTGGAGATTTCTGAAGCAAGAAATATTTGACTATTTTTAATAACCTCTCGCTTTCAAAAGAGGCGAAATTTAGAACTTTATGTTGACATCAAAACATGAGATACCAATGAGATCCTTCCACTCGGTCCACTAATGATTCCTAAAGTGTATACATCTGAAATCTCAGCCAGATTAATTGCTCAGGTTGGAGAAAATACATCATTATTCTACCAGTACAGAAAAGTATTCATAAAATCATCAGAAATATGGAAGAATAATCGGCACTTGACCGAGCTTGGTCTCTGAATTTTCTAATGTTGTGTTTGGTCTCTCATTATTTGAAAATTGCAAGATATATACATTAAAACACTTGTGATTCAAAATACGAAAGGTTTGTTGCTTGGAGTGTATTAATCTAAACTTCTTGATAAAACAAGCTGAAGCATTCCTGACGAAATTCTGGACAGCTCGCAAAATCCTGCTTCTAAGCTTTCTAAAGTATGTGAAAGACGTAACAGGCGGTTTTTCATGTTTTTAATAATATGTGATTCATTAGAGAATTTCAAATAATTTAAATAACAATATCAGCTCTTTCCTCTGGGTCTGCTAATGAGACTTTTATGTGAAAGGATGCTTGGAAATAGAGCTGTAAGGCTCAGATAGTATCTTATTTTGAACTAAATTTGGGTATTTTTATATAGAAATTTTACAGTCATACATACGAAAATTTTGTAGTGAGGTGTAAAAAGATTCTCATATTTTTAGCAACTCGTGCAGCTACCCTTTCCTGCTCTTTTTAGAAGTATATAGCATTACAAATAACTTAGACATACGCTTTTGAGGCAAAATGATTAACGACTTATGAAAAAACTGAAAAATTAATCCCAATAACGTAGAACGGACGATCATAAAATTTTATAAAACTCCACAAGTGTTGAAAATTATGCATAAAACGATCTTAATTATTTTACAAATTTTATGAAGAGGAAATAGTTTTAGTATTTTTATGTAAAGCTCTTGATCCTTGGCAGCAGATTGGCTTCTGTTTCAATGTCTTGAAAACTATAAGGCATTAGATCCCAAAAATATGATAAGCTTACCTTCTTAAATGATCGAGTTTCCTGACAAGTCTGATGGGTGAGAAAAACCTGCCATTTTCAACCTTTGCCTTCTGAACTTTTCTGTTAATTTTTCTAATCATGTTCTGATGAAACATTGCCATCTTGTGGAGTTCCTTAACTTCAACAGTTGTTGTTGTGAAGTTCTCTGGCTTTGCGTTGATGTTCATGTTTAGTCTATTTAGTATATCAGAGATTAGAATATTAGTTTCAATCTATAGCAAAGCAAAGTTTACTGGTCAACAATAACTCATATAAGCTAAATAGCAAGCTCAAAACAGCAGGAAGTCAAAATAGGCCTGAAAGAAAGCAAAGTTTGCCTCTTGGGTCTCTTCAGGTCTGTTTTAAATTTTATATGAAATCCTTCCATAAAATTTTAATTAATACTAACAAGTAAAAATCTGGCCATCTAGTTCATTCAGGAGTTGAGAATAGCAAAAAGTAGTTCAATACCTTGAAGCTTTGTTTTTAGGTGAGAAAGCTCTCAGCTTTTCACTCATAGAAGGTTCCATTAACTGTATACTTCTCATCTGAGATGAAGATGTCTTCTTTCTTTTCAAATTGCTGATCTCAAGCTTGCATTTTACCATGTCCAATTTAGCGCCAGTTATTTTTCTTTTTGGAGCTTTATAGGGAGTTTTAGTTTTGTTCTGGATCAGAGCTCTTTTAGCCTATATAATAAAAATAAGTTAAAAACACTCAATAGAATAGATGCTTACCTTAATGCTACCAACAGGATTTCTAAAATTGCTGAGGATATCTATTCTGACCTTCTTGCTGATTTTATTCTTACTAAAAAGAATTATTAGATGCGTATGGTTTTATTAAATATGACTTCACCATACCTTTTCTGGATGAAACTAGCTACTTCCTTAATTTTCCTTTTGAGTGCTGCCTTATTTACATCTGCTACAAGTCTATTTGGTCTTGGTGAGAGTACCGAATTCATTTTACTAAATTCTTTAATTTAATTCAATAAGGCCTCAACAAGTAGGGGTTTTGGGGTTTTGGGGTTTTGGGGTTTTGGGGTTTTGGGG